CTTAAATACATGCCGACGTATTGTTTTGGGGGCTTTTCATTCAGAATCGAACTTTTCACTTAAACGGATGCACCTCTTTAATACCACTAGTTTCTATGTTCCAAAAATATTTACATATTTAATTTTCCTTGAAAATATCAAGATTTTGGGCAACTCACACGACAGACTGACATTTGTGTTGGCATCACCTTAATATTTATGCATGAATTTTTGGTTAGAGCTTGACAACTGGACTCTGTAGATCAGTTGATCAGAGCGCTGCAAGGGCCACAAGTTCGATTCCTGGCAGAGGGCCGACAGTTGTATTTTTCGCAACTGCCCCTGATGAGGTCTAATAAATGTATAAAAGTGCACTGGAAATTTCCATCTACAGTACATTGAATCTTTGGTTTGTGAAAAAGGTTGTGAACGCCATAAAAACACGCGAGAGGGTAACTATCGTATAGTTTTAACAGATATTTAAGATGTTTTTAAAATTTACTTAAGAAATAGAAAATGAGTCGCGTGCGTTTATGGTGTTGTAATGCACGCGGGGAATGTTGGGAGAATACGAGAAGCGTGTAGTGTCGCCCAAGTGCCGCCCAAGTGCGTGTAGCCCAAGTGTATTATCGCACTATAAATGCACGAGACGAGTTTTTCAATTTCTTTTATAATATAAGTAAAAGATATTACATAGTAAACAATTTCACTCAAAAGATCGACGTTAAAATTCTCCTAACATGTACTCAGTGACGTCATGCGCATGCTTTTGCCACAGAAATCCAGAATGCTTTTGCTGTCGCTTGAATTTTTAAGCAAGCGAAGGAGCGAAATTGCCAAAACAATATACAAACTTTTGATGCTATAAAGCCGGAAAAAATGTTTAAAATAGTAGAAATATCTGACCTGCTGGATTTGCTATGAAAGACGGTAAATCGTAGGTTTCGTCGTGTTTGCTTTGTTCCTTTGGTCTACTCCTTCTTGCTTTCTGATAAATTTTGTATTTTAAAAGCTCCATAGTTTTGTTTATATTTTTGGCTAAAAAGCAGTGATGAAGAGGGGAAAAAACAGACGGAAAGAGCAAGGCAGTGCCTGCACAGATCACAGTGCATTATTGCGTCACAATACACGCGCATTAGTCAATCAAATCGTCTGTTATATCATGACACTTATACTATAAATGGTCAAAACAACTTATTTTGAAAACATTGTTTTGTCACAATCGCGTTTGATGGCGTGGCAAGTTACATACATTGAGTTCACTGGATAGCGATTCGCTAATATACAAATAATGAATGTTTATGAGTGCAATGGTAAGAATATTTTCATTCGGTGAAAGATGGAATGTTCCATTCAACGAGGCGACAGCCGAGTTGAATGGAACATTCCATCTTTCACCGAATGAAAATATTCTTACCTTTGCACGAATAAAAACATTCATTATTTGTTTTATATAATATACCAAAGTAGACTAATATTAAAAGGTTTACTGTAAGCTCCCGCCATTTTGACGAGTCGTGTTTGTATTAAATCCCATTTACTGAGTTTCGAATATCGGGTTAAAATAAACTGCGATCACCGTACGAGAAGCATCTTGACGGATGCGATTTATCGAAAACACAAAGAGAGCAATGGAATAAAATGTATAGTACAATTGCACTCGCAAAGAATGCATTCCATTGCACTCTTGGGAAATGGAATTTTCTATTCAATATCACGTGACAATAAACAGCCAATTAAACGATCAGAATTCAATAAGGCATTATATAATTTCAGATAATTCATGTGACTGTAGAAAATATAGTTGTTTAGTTATAGTTTATAGGTCGAAATCACATTTCCAAATCTCCAATTCTATGCACAATTTAAGAGTATGGCAAAATCTTAAAAAATAAAATTAAAGCCGAAAGCAAGACTATTATAACAGGTTTTGTTAGAGGAAAACAAGCAACAGTAAAATAATACCCCAGGAACTAATGCCAGCTTTTTATAAAAACAGTCAAACAGAATAATGGTGAAGGTATTCCGCAAGGTTGCAGTCTTCAATCGTTCATACCGTAGATGAAATTATGCCAAAATTTACGGCTATTCACAGGCTATATTCAAGCATATATACAGTAGCTATATACAGAATTAAAAATTGGGCAAAATTTCGTGAGGTGAAAACTATGAACGATACAGTACAGGGTGAAATTTACCTCCCACATCTTTGAAACCATATTCCCTGCCAAGTTCAGCTGCTAAAAGTATTTTTCCTGTCTTTTTCATGATGTTTTTATCTGTAAAAAAGATTAATTAATATCGTGAGTCGTGAATATACTAACTTATGTATTACCTTACTTGTATTAAAATTCACGCAGGACTAGAATTCGCGCAGCGCTGGGTGCGCGAATTTTAGTACTGCGCGAAATATAATCCGTGCGAAAAGCTTTGTGGTGTAATATGAGACACTCATTGTCAGTAATACAAATCAGTTGAGTTATTAACTGATTTGCATTACTATTTGCATTATGTTACTGTATTGCACAAATGAGAACCATATTTTTTCAGTTCTTGTTGGTATTTTTAACTCACGCTTTATTAATTGTTATCATGAATTTTGCTTACATTACATAATTTTGAAGCCATTTTTTAGGTCACCTAATCGCTTTTTGATTAAATTTTAAAGTGCTACTGCAGCGAATTTTTCGACCCTCATTTTTTAGCTTAATTAAAAGTGCTTTCCTTCCTGACCAGTTTACCACAAACAGAATTGAAATTGGTCATTTGATCGGCCATTTTGATGCCATGTGACGTCATAAGATGAACACGATTTCATCATGGCGTATTAAAATTATAGTAAAACCAACAAACGCGGAGACGAAGGCCGTGTTTCTGGCAGTTCTAACTTAGATTATTGCACGAATTCTGAACAGCCTGAAGGAATACCCATGCATCCATTTCCCAACAAAGAAACAGATCCACAGTTTGAAAGAAAGTTAGTGAATTTTACCCGTAAACATTGACCACGGGTTTTCACGCATCTGCGAACCTAGTATTTTGATTTGAGCCTGTTTTGAAGATTCGTGCTATATCTTATTTTCATTGACAAAACCTCGTAAAATGGAAAGAATACTGAAGGAAGAAACTGTTTATACAATTCACATGGCTAGAATTGTTCCCCTGGGTAAAGTACAACTAGACGCAAAGCAAATATTTCAGGTAACAAATTAATATGTTCGCACACATGGTGAATATTTTGCGCAAATGATGCTATATAGTTAGTCTAAAGTGTTCAACATTTCTTATGTTTTAGATCATTTGTGGTTGTAAAAAGACTATCTCCTGTTAAGTTAGTTTCTTGTCCAGAGCATCTTGAGATTGAAATAAAGACAACAAGTCAGCATGCCTTGACCTAGTTTCGTCACTGAGACATCTGATGACATTTTGAGAGAAACGATGCCATTGGAGTTATATTCAGTCATATCAATAATACATATTGCATAATATAAAGTAACAATAAATATAATAATACAATAGTATAATATTGTACTGGTACGCAATATTATGTGAGAAATATATTTGTGCACAAAACATATATGAGGGATGCAACTTAACTGGTTACTTTGAAGATTAATATAATTTCAAAATATTACAGTAAATGTGATATTGCACAGTGGCACAATTTTGACTCAATGGTTAACTGACATTACTGACTCAGTCACAATCTGCCTAATCCAACTAAAGTCGACCGCTTTTCTGCTCAAACGTTAGGCAGCTGTGTCTTTGTTGTTGGAAATTATTTTCTTCTGTTTTCCCATCCAAGTAAAACTAGCCATCAATAGAACCACAGCCCATAATTGCCAATTACACGTATCGCTATCTATTAATTTTAAAAACAAAATCAAAATCATTTTGAGTATTGCGAATTATTAGGCTATGAATATGGTTGTGTTTATAAACGTTATTATAATTTTTGTCACGCACAATCCAGTTTATAATAAATATTAAGTTGCACACACCAGATGTGTTCAAACAATCAGACACAATACCGAGGCGAGCACAATACAATATAAATATATATGCAATAAAAAGGATCTACTTACCACTAATTTTACAGGTATTGTACCATTGCTCGATTGCTCCAACACAGTGACAGATGGTAGTTGCCCATCTGCAGCAGCGTTATATAATGTCTCTATCACTTCGTCTAGTGAAGCTGTATAAAAGCTGTTAGGCAATTGGTTCATCATCGTATTTCAAAGCCGACTTAGCCGAGTCCATACTCGTTGACTTCCAGTTCCAGATGCAGTACTGACCCTATTATCTGAGTCTCTAACCGTCATTCCGCCGTCAAATAAACAATAAGATATAGCACTTGTTCTTCGATTTTTAAAAATCAGTTATTTGCGTCATAAGCAAGTGAAATAGCCAAAAATTCCACTGCAATATGTTGACGCGCCATATAATTTACTACAAATACGACCTTCATATCTTCGTTTCCGTTCATCTTATGACGTCACACGACATCAATATGGCGGCGGAAAAGTTCGCACGCGATACCCAACTTCAGAGGTTAAATTAGGCAACTTCTAAGCATCGCATGATGGTCAAATATATATGAAAATGCCTCTAAAGGACTGAATTTTTATTTAAGCTAAAAAAAACTAGGTCCAAAAATTCGCTGCAGTAGCACTTTAACAAATACTGAAGAACTTGTTGATAACAAATACTCATTATAAATGCGTTAATTGTTGATAGTTCTATTAAACAAACCAAGAAGAACGAACACGGACAATTACGTGCGCGAATTTAAAGCTGCGCGAATAAGTCTCAACAAGGTGCGCGAAATTAAATCGCGCGAATTTAAAGCTGAGCGAAAATGAGTACGACGCGAATTTTAATGCAAGTAAGGTATTGAACAGCAGTGTTTTCACTAAGTTAGTAATTGTAATAGCAGGCTGCTTTTCAAAAATAGGCGTCTCTACTCATTATTGTCGGATGAAAAGCAAATATATATAAAGAAATAAGCTCCCATTGGATGCCCAATAGTAACTGCCCCTTTTATTCAATATCACTCGTGATCAGGTGCATTTGCAGATACACAAAATACGTATTGCCACAAAACATTGATTCGTATTAAATAGTTTGTCATTGTATGAGATCTACATGTACAATGTAGTAGCACACCGAGGTGATCGACGCAAACCACCTATATATTTTAATGAATTTGAATGCAGCTAACAAGGTTTCCAGTCGAGGCATTTTGAAAGAAGTGGGCACCTGTAGGGGCGGGGAGGGGATAAGGGATCCGAGGGCGTCTCTCTGTGAATATTCTGTAATTTAACCCTCTGAATGTAATTTCGAGAAATAACCAGCGTCTGTCTGTTCGAAAGACGCCGAAAATCAGGTGGGAACCCTGAGTTAATAACATGCACTTCCTATTGTTAACCCTTTAAGTAGCTAACCCTTAAGTAATTGACTTAACTCTTAAGTTAAGTGTCAATCGTGGTTAACCCTGAGTTAATACGATTACGATTAACATTTCTACAGCGCAACTTTACATGCGGATCAGGCCTCGAATTTCCCTGAAATCAATCGACGGCAATGGTGCTAAAAATTGCCGTAGAACGTAACAGCTCTCTACGGCAATTTTGGCAGTTTCCACGGCATTTTTCAAATTACTGTAAAAAACTTTAATTTTATTGTTACTTTGGTTTTTGACAAGCTAGAAACATGTCTACGTACCTGTATTTCTTCAGTGTTTTTTTTTTCGAAGAAAAATGAGACTAAAATGCATTATTTGATCAACATCTGAATTCAAGTATCAAAAATTCAAAATAGTAAAGCACAGTGAATATAGTATAAAAATTGCACTATACGGCAAAAAATTGCCGTCGTTGCTGCAATAATCCACGGCATTTTGTTCTCTCTCTACGGCAATTGCCGCGATAAAATTCGAGCCCTGATGCGGATATGATCAAATGGGCTTTACATCAAGTATTAGCCCAGATTGTTTTATCTTTACAACAATTGTGATATTACTTTGAATTCTTAACCGTGTTTATCCCAACCCATCCCTGTCAACTACTTTCCCTGTGTAAGCTAGAAATTGGAGCACCCGGTGACCCAGAGAAAACACACGACTTTCGCCGGAGCGAGAATTGAACCCATGCACGATCTCGGAGGTTAAAGGCGCTTGCTCTGACGACTGCTCCACCAAAACCCCAACAACACTTAATAACACTTTGTAGTGTAGACATCTTTTCAGTTAGCTTGTAGTCCTTGTATACTTAATTTAATCTGTTAAGCCTGGTTCACATATGCCTGCGGTATCCCTGCGACTGTATCATTATGCCTCTACTTGCCGCCGAAATACCGGCAAAGTTGAACTGAAGTCAACTTTCCCGGCCTACCGCCGATGTAACTGTGGCACTGGAGGCAATCGGCGAACAAATATTCACATAATTTACGTTTTAAGCTACCACCGGCATCGTCGCCGGTTACGTCGCAGGCATATATGTGAACCAGGCTTAATAGTGGAGTTTTAAATTGACGTGAACGCAGTAACCTCTGTAGAGCGGACGCCTTGATTCAATAAAGAAACGTCGCCCTGTCCTGTCGATGCCTGCGTTCGGGGTTCGATGAATCATTTCAAAATAAACATGTGTGTTGAGAGAGAATAGACGTTATGTCTTCAAAAGATTTTTTAAGGATTTTTGAAATTATTCAACATTCTATTTATACAATATACACTTTAATACAACATAAACGTTATTGCATGTCTGACGTTGACTTACCGCTCCCCAAGGCCACCACTGCCTTCCCTGAAAACTCTGGAGTCTCGATGTATTCGCCCTCAAATGTCTCGAACTAAATGAAAGTTGACAAATGCAAATGACTATTAATTTTGTAAAAAACACACGATGTAAATACATCACTATTCAATGCTTTGCGCGCTAAAATGTCTTGATTGTTTTGTATTCCACCCGCATTTTATTAGCCACTTTTGTAACGAAAGATTGACATCCGAAGCGCGCATCCTTATCAATCTGGATTATTCTTAGACGATGTCATATTTTTCATAGTTGGAATATGTTAATAGATCATTGATTGAGATTTTGGCGTGTCTTTTTATCTTAACCAATGATTTTAGAACGTTTTCTCATTTTACAAAGTAGATGGCTAATCATGGACTCTGTATTTCCCTTCGTGGAAGACCAACAAGTGAGGTTATATTAAAAAAATACCGTTCACAAGTTCAACGAAACTTGAACAACGTCCTTTGGACGGAAAGGAAAGAAAGCCTGGGCTTTCGCATAGCGAGTAAGAGTTCGCCGAAATCCTGCTGCATCAAAGCATGGACTAACTGCGTGAACGTAGCAGGCGATGTGCATGGTTTGATTACATCAAAACACCAGCGTTTAAATGTATTAAAGTCTTTTTGTTTATAATAAAGCTATTGCATTTTTGCATATTATTCTTAGTGTATAACTATTTTCGAAGACAACACTATTTTTAGCTCCCCGTATATATAAACAATCACATAGCGCGCGAAGCATCACGGTTGACTGTGATGCATTAAATAAAGCTTCGAGGGGTCATGATTTAAATTTTTTTATTGGATTCAACGTGACAAAGTAAAATAAGAAATTTTCTAAAAAATTGGCGCTGGGATTTGCGTTTTATTGTCTAGTTCTAAAATTATCGGTATTCTAACTTTCGCGCTTTTTATACGCCGCTGTTCGAATGCCGATAACTTAACTATGGCTAGAAATCTGCGACAGCCAGCGGTTTGCAATGCAGGCGCACGCACCGTCAGTACGTCATGTTAATGAACATATTGAAAAGCCGGAAAGTACGTAAAGAAACGCTCTTTAAATGTATATGCCCAATAAAGACATGCTTCCTTCTCGTCGGCAAACACTTCAAACTCCTTTATATTATTCTGTGGAGCGACTGATTAGTTGTCGGAAAAGAAAAAGAACGGTAAGTGAGAACTCCTCGCTTGTTTTACTAGACAAATGACTTTAAATGACTTTTTAAAACTGTTGGACAATGGACAATAGCTAAATGATAAGTAAAGCATGTCAGTGACATAATTATGTCCAGCATTTAATACTTTACGTCACTAGCTGATATTATCTCACCTTTATTGAATATGAATCACGAACAAGAATATGAAAAAAAGCAAAATTTCGATGCGCTTGCATCGCGTTTTAGCGAAGTAACAAGGCGATTTTAAAATGGAAAATAAAGGCAAAATATACCATTCTTTCCTCTACTTGGAAACAGTATTGATATAATATCTTTAGATAAAATTGTGATAAAATTCATGGGGAGAACAAAATCCAATGTTGATGTACGATCAGCCTGAAAACTGAAGCGATTATGGGGTTTCGTCGTGAAAATAACTTGGATTACTAGTAAAGTGCGCGTGATTATATGTGCAAATTCCTGCAAAATTGTTTTGTAGGACCAACAAAAGCCGAAAAGGCAAGTTATTAAACTTATTCACTTAATATTTACATCACAAAGGAGCTAAGCCTGCGTTTCGGCCATGTTGTCGCAAATTTCTAGCCACAGTGAGTAATCCGGTGCCAAATTTTAGAAAATTTCTTATTTTACCTTGCCATGTTGAATCCAATGAAAGAAATTAAAAACCCTGACCCCCTCGAAGCTTTAGTTAAGATAGAACTTTTCTGTTCAAATGTATGTTTTTACTGGAAGTAGTAACCAATAACGCATTCTGATTGGCTTAGAGCGAAAATGTCAACAAATAGTGCATTGATACGATTGGTCGAGAACGAAATTCCCCTTTTTTGTACGCGACACAATAAGTTGAAAATATGCACAGAGGATTATAAAAGACAAATGAATACTGAACTTAAACCGCACTAAAAGATACTGTATGTTAAAACGTTAATAACAAACGTACTGTACTGTTCGAGTTCTAAAAAAGCGCGAAAAACCGTCTCGTGACTTGTTCCATTTCTTTACTGAGCGGCAAACATTCCAAGCGAAGGCCAAGGGTCGCGAGGATGACGACTAATATATATATAAATCGTGTGCAAAACTGTACTAACTGTAAGGAGCCCCCGAAGTTCAGAACATTCCGTTTTGTCATAAAAGATCGCGTAAACATTTGTGAATTTTTGTTGAACGAACAACTCACTGTGTTTTTAATTTGATGGCTTATCGCTAGTGAATTCAAGAAAAATAGACGAAAAAGAGAATTCTGAACTTTAGCATGCAAATTTTCTGAAAGAAAGTACTTTTCAATGATATCAATACCACACTATTTCAGGTAAGATCATCTAACCATCAAAGCTCGAGTTACTTCAACGACACTCCTATCAACCCATTACATTTTTTTATAGTTTGATATAAGATAATTTAAATAGATATATTTAAATTGCTTGATCATATAAGATTGCCTAACTGAAAATATAAATCTTAGTTGCGTTAGTGTCGGATACTGATAATATGTAATAAAGTGTATAATGTATTGTTAAAACACCGTTTCTCCTGTTTTAAAATTTTGACGTCCTGGGAAAAGTTTGCCCGCGCACCCTCCCGGCGGCCTCTGATCTGGGATTACACTTCAGATATCATGCAATATATAGTAGATCCGTCAATTAACGTAAAATCAACAAATCAACTAGATTTAAAAATCCTGGAACACAGCACATACCACTTTACTGGCACGTTCTCCAAATTTCCCATCCTTCATGTCACTAATAGCCTCTGTACTTACAAGACCAGGCCATAATGAAACTGTAGCTACATTATGTTTCCTCAGTTCTACAGCCATGTCAGCCATCATACGATCGTTCTGTAAGATAAGAGGTTCTTCATAATTAAAGTTCTTCATATTGTTCTGTTGCATGACCAGGAAAGAGGATATCGATAGAGCAAGACTGCATGGCGCCTCTACAGTGTAACTCTTAGAAGTGTTTACGCCACGTAATTTCCAATCCATCAAAACATTAAGCATAATCATTGCAATGTATAGGATACACGTGGGTCAAATATTCATTCCCTGAGAGTGACGTGATGTAATGACCTCTAAAGTCAATTGTAAAAGATCACTCACACTCACCCTTGAGTGAGATTCAAGTGTCGCGCACTAAAGAGGGATTGAAGTGCGAGTCTGAGTGAAAAACTCGAAATATGGGGGTCTCTTAATTAAAACATCTTGTTCATTTGTATCCATAGAGCTCACTTGACTCAAGTGCGACTTGTCTGAGTTAAAAGTGTCGTTTCTTATTAGTGTTGTCAGTGGATTAGAATCATAACATTTACATTATCTGTATAGACAGTTGTACCCATGCACATATGAGTCACGTTTTAGGGGGAGTTACTATTTTTAGACTTTTAGGGTAAGGATTAGGGAAAGGGTGATGATTAAGATTAGGGTTAGGATTAGAGTAAGGGTTAGGATTAGGGTTAAGTTTAAAATACAAACGAATACAAAATTACAAATTAAAGTCTAAAAATAGTAACTCCCCTAAAACGTGACAGGTACCTGTATATCATTAATTGCAGATATACTTCTCCTGATTATGTTCAGTAGATTACGAAAACCATCCTGCATTAACACATGTACCTGGCTCGGAAACGTTCCTCGACATAGCTCTGACAATAAGTATAATTTAACGTCCGTTCATTCCTGCAATTTGGTGGAACTTTATTCAAATATTCTAATTTGTTTAGCCACCTTTCCATCAATGTTGGTGATTCGAGGGACGTATATCGTTTACTCAAGTTTTACTCATATTCAGGCCACAAATTGAGGGTGAGTGTTGTCATTGAATGGTTGGAGGGTGCATAAGTGTAGTCTTACACTCAGTGAGGATGAGTGGAGACTCCGTGAATATTGAGTTGCACTTATTGAGTCTCATTGTGTGTGAGGGAGCTTTCAGAATACAGGCATGAGAAATGGTCTGGACATGTCGAATCGTGTGTATAGCTATAAGCATTGTAAAAAAAAACTCACCGCAGCTTTCCCAATTCCGTAAGGCACATTAAAGGTATATCGTAATCCACCACCAGAAGATATATTGATAATTAATCCTTGCTTTCTTGGTACCATCATGTTTGCCGCGTGATGAGCACAAATGAAATTCGACCTAAATATTAAGTAAAAAGTCATTGTCACAAATACATAAATATTATAATCTATCCATTCAAAACTTATTCCTCTTAATTATTCATTTTATTTCATTTCGTTTATAGTAGTACTCAAGATTTTCGGAACAATCGATATCATGGCGCGGAACAGATCAAGGTCACATGACTGTTCTGACTATACCCCAAATTCCAAGTAGGGGCAGCCAGAACAGAATACAGAAAGGGACGTTAAATTAGAAAGTGTTGGCTGTTTTCACCACATTTCCCCAACGTGTATGTCTTGTTCTAAGTACTAATTTATTCAATACTACAGATTGCTGTGAATTAATTTTATATTAATTAATGGTATTAAGTTGGAATGATAGTTAAATCATCCCCCCCCCCCTTTACAAACACACACACACACACACACACACACACACACACCAATAAGCGCCAAGTCAAGAAGTGCTGAAAAAGAACAAGTACCACCCTTTACTAGGGTAATAAATGTTATTATAATATAGCATTTGTAAATTCTGAACGTTGATTGGCCAAGAGCCGTGTTGATATAACTCAATGTCAACACGGGAAATTTTTCTTATCCTTCGGGCTTTTGACATTGCTATATTATAAAAAAAAATATAAAACATTTTTTCCGTATTGATATATAGTTATATCAACACTCGTGGAAGTTGGGAAAACTCGTTTTCCCAATTCCACTCGTGTTGATATAACTGTATATCAACACGGAAAATGTTTTATATTTGTTAAATATGAAACCAAAAACTGTTTTTTCCCCTTAAAGTGCTACTGCAGCGAATTTTTGGACCTAGTTTTTTTTAGCTTAAATAAAAATTCAGTCTTTTAGAAGCATTTTCATATATATTTGACCATCATGCGATACTTAGAAGTTGCCGAATTTAACCTCTGAAGTTGGTTATCGCGTGCGAACTTTTCCGTCGCCATATTGATGCCGTGTGACGTCATAAGATGAACGGAAACGAAGATATGAAGGTCGTATTTGTAGTAAATTATATGGCGCGTCAACATATTGCAGTGGAATTCTTGTCTATTTCACTTGTTTATGGCGCAGGTAACTGATTTTTAAAAATCGAAGAACAAGTGCTATATCTTATTGTTTATTTGACGGCGGAATGATGGTTAGAGATTCAGATAATAGGGTCAGTACTGCATCTGGAAGTCAACGAGTATGGACTCGGCTAAGTCTGTTTTGAAAAACGATGATGAACCAGTTGCCTACCAGCTTTTATACAGCTTCACTAGACGAAGTGATAGAGACATTATATAACGCCGCTGCAGATAGGCAACTACTACCATCTGTGACTGTGTTGGAGAAATCAAGCGATGGTACAATACC